TGAAAGAGACTGGGAATGGTTCCTTCCACGCTGGTGCCCTTCATCTTCTTCTCCATGTTGCTGAAGAGCACCCGACAAAGCTCCTGCACGTTGTGCTGCTGAAAGGATTCGCTTCTCTGCCAGCCAAAGGACTTGGTCAGTTTCTTCGTGTCCACTGGCTGATCGCCGAACTGCAGGTCGTAGAAGACGCGTTGCAGGGCCAGGGCGACGCTGGACGCCTGGCTGTCGCTCTCTGTGGGCATCTGATACACTGCCTTGCGCAGTTTGTTGGTGAAGTAAAGCGTCTGCAGGAGGGAGTTCATGTAGCAGGTGGCCCCCTGGTTCTTCAGCCCCACAAAACCGGTCAGTTTTTCTAAGTCTATGTAAACGTCGCACGGCGGGTCCGTTTTTATCTTTGCCTCAAAGATGAGCGTGTAGTCTTTCAGGTAGCCGTTTGCCGGGTTTGTTATTTCCTGAAAAAAAAGAAACGAGGCAACTTTAGAATCACTTGCACGATCCACACAGCTTACCGCCCATTTGGTATAGTATCTAAAACCTTTGACATTTTCTTTGCTGGTGAAAACGTGCGAGTTGTCTAAAAGGATAGGAGAAAAAAATTAGTTAAAGATAATTGGGATACAAAAACATACGTTTTGAAAAGTCCTTACAGCCTTCTTTCTGTGCGAGAAAACGCAGTTCAGCAGAGGCATAACACGACCAGTTCCTGCGTCAAAGTAGGCAAAAGTGGCAAATGAAAACAAGTCAAAAGAGATTAAAGTTGTGAAAGCACTTACGTAGACTCTGACTCTTTGTTGCACTGAAGGAAATAGGCTAAACTTTTTAAACTCTTGTTGGAGGGACTGGAAAGCATTTTAGGTTGTACCAATATATTCCTGTAAAAAACTTTTGAGTTTTTATTTTGCTAAAGAAGAAAACATGCCTCGTCTTACCATGGCAAATTTCTGAAGTAGAATGGNTAGGCAAAAGTGGCAAATGAAAACAAGTCAAAAGAGATTAAAGTTGTGAAAGCACTTACGTAGACTCTGACTCTTTGTTGCACTGAAGGAAATAGGCTAAACTTTTTAAACTCTTGTTGGAGGGACTGGAAAGCATTTTAGGTTGTACCAATATATTCCTGTAAAAAACTTTTGAGTTTTTATTTTGCTAAAGAAGAAAACATGCCTCGTCTTACCATGGCAAATTTCTGAAGTAGAATGGCTGACTGTGTATCATCTTCTTCATTTGAGAAATTTTGCCAATAGTGCATCGGAAAGTGACCTCTGATCGCGACTTATCTGCAAGCGGCGAGCGTGTTAATTTTAAAAAAAACAAAGAACAAAAAAACAGTGTTTCTTACCGTTTTCCTTACTTTCGCCGCCTTTGTCGCCGTTAGCCACTTTGACAGTGATGTTTTGCAGCAGACTGGCAGAGCCCATGGCTTAAAGAGAAAGGAAGACAAGAGAGAAAATGACGATGATAATGGTGACGACAATTAAAGCAAAGTTGTGATGGTGTTGTTTTCGTTGATGACTACACAACAAACAAAGGAGGCAACGCGCTACTTTTTTTATTTACAAAAATCGTAGTTATCGCTTGCAATGTCAATTTTCTTTTTTTTTTTGTTGTCAAACTTCATCTGTGATATTAGTGTGTGTGTGTGTGAATGTGTGTTTCAGTTCGGTGCAACAACAGCGTCTGAATGAACAACAACAAAAACAGAAAGCGAAATCAAAGCAAAAAAAATGCTGTTTTTTGGCTGCAAAACAAAAAGGTGGAAACAGCCTCTCATTAGAGAGCGGTGTTAAAATAGGCGTCGCTTAAAACTGGCAACTGAGGTGCCACT